AACTTGCGATGCTCTGATCATGTTCCGGAGGCTACCCTAAAACTCACGTCCGATCCAGTGGATTGGCCAGAAAAAGTAAAAAAAAAAAATGCGTGCCACTCAAATGCTTCTCCCGGAAAGCTTAAAATCCTGGAACTCAAGAAGTGAGAACAAATATAGAATAGTTTTGGAGGACCCAAGCTACGGAGAAAAAAAAGCGTGGCCATGCTCTCCCAAACAAAGTGACCAGTGATCGAATTCAGGCCAGAATCCTTTGCTGCAGATTGCGCGTGCTGCCTTGGCCATGGCCAGCTTCGGGCCATGCGAAAAGAGAGTCCCAGGGCGGCAAAAGGCTCAAAACGGTAACTTGAGCGGTAGGTCGTGAATGTTTAGCAAAACAACCGCTATACTTACTAAACAACAATTACACAACCACTGTACAACGGTTTCCGTCGGAACCTTGTTTGTTTGGTGTTCTGGTTGTATATATTCCATACCTCAATTTCGCATGGGCCACGGCTTTTTTCAAGGACAGCGGAAGCCATGTCAAACCACAGAGCAGCCAAGTGTTGCATCGCGTTCTAGGCAAACTACCATTCACACACCTGAACACTGAGGTCGCAAATCAGCTTGCCTTTGCGAGGTTGGTTACTTTCTTTTCCGAACTTAGGGTTGGCCCCCCCCAAGGATCCATTTAAAACTAACCAAAAGAAGTCTTGCCACATGGCCACCCCCATGAATGGTGTGAAATAGGGATTGATCCCCAACATTGTATGGTTTTCATTTTGGTTTCTCTTCAAGCCAAGGGTGGAAACGGTGCCCCCATGAAACCCCCAGTTCAAATCCAAACCACCAAAGGGGTACCTGACATTTCTCCGGTGCCTCAATGACCACGCGGCTGGCATCAACCAGCAAGGGGTTCCAGTAGTCCAGCCCGACGATGTCCGAGAGGAAAATCTCGAAGCTGCAAACTCCGCCTAGTCAACACCCTGACACCGAGCGGATTTGTTGGTTCAAACAACTATTACGATTATCTAAATTCAATGTATGAAACCAGGTAGAACCTACCTTGGCAACTGTCTTGGAATCTTGTAGGTGCGAAAGACATCCCCTAAAGGGGAAACTGCAAGGGAAATTATGGTCATGTAAATGAGAATGGTTCCCATTCCCAAATATTCCTCCAAGATTGAATGGGGCCAATACTTCCGAGCCTTGCATGTGGCGGAGCGGCACTTCAACCTTTAGATTCCAGCCCGGGAAACCGAGCTCGGCAGATTTCAGGCGAGGAAGGGCGCATCTCAACCCAAATTGGGGGCGGGCGTGGTGGCACCGGAATGTTTAGGATTAAGGGCCCGTTTCAAAACATTGTGGTGCCACCAGTTCTTGCTGCTTAGGTTTCAGGGTAGCTTTGGGTTCTCTCGCGTTGCGCAGGATTCCTGGTAGCTAACCTTGGACCACCCTGCCCCATCAAACCCAGCGCTGTTATTTGTGAGCCATCCTTTGGTTTCCTTCAGGGAAAACACATGGGTTCTCTTGGTCATTGTTCAGCCTATCCGAGGATTTAAATCTCTTCTACCATCACCGTTTCAGTCAAGGACAAAGATCTAAGATGGTACCTTACCAAACATTAGGATTCTTGTGGGTTTGGGGGTTACACTCCCAGACTTGGCCATCTGGGGCAGAGAAAATATTCAGATTCTGAAAGTGGCAACTGGAGGCACTGGGTACTCTAAACTATACCATATTTTTAGGGGTCCACCTCTCAGCGCGCGCAGCGAGCCGCGAGCCGACGAGCCGACGAGCCGACGAGCCGAGGCGCGGAAGGGCAACGCCTGGCCGGGGGCGAAGAATGGGCTGCCCTTCATGGCCCAGGAATAGCGCTGCAGCGTGGCCGCCGGCTGCTGCTTGGCCTCGTCCTGCGGGTTTTTGGGCGCTCAGGTTGACTTGAAAGGAAGCCCCACGGAACGTGGCCCATTGTTGAGGTTCCCCTATTTGGGCTTTGAAGGGACACTAGAAGAAGCCCAGCGCGTCCAGGCGCTTCGCCACTTTGAGGTACTTTTTTCTCTATAGGCTTTACATGGATTCCAAGCGCTACCTACGATACTGGCTTGGCCAGACTTGATTAGACCCAAAAGTGAACTTGTCGCAGCATGAAGGAAGCCCATTTTCTCGGCAAAAGGGCAGACAGTTCACTCTTGCAATGTCTGACCACTTTGGGTTTACAGGGCAAACCAATTGCCATTTCTTGGGGTGCTCTTAGGTTGGAGACATGAGGGTGGTTCCCTTTCTTCTCTGGAGCACCCACTTTAGCCAACACCAACCAGGGGGGACGTGGTGGGCGGATGTCGGCGCCTATGTTTGGAGCTGGCCCCTGCCAGCCTTCAACCCGGATTCTTGCAGGTGGTTCACTTGGTTGATGGCATGATCTCAGGTACGTTGTTTGTTTTTCTAACTTCTAAAGTCAGGGCCGCTTTATCATGGATATGAAGACGTGCGTGTGCGTGTGCTTTTATGGAACAATTGCCGGTTTTGGTGTGGTGTCAAAGGGAACGAGAAAAAGAACGGCTTTAACACATACCCACATCTTGTCAAAAGACACCCAAGCGTCGTAACTTGGTACATGCACCGGCCTTGGCTTAAAGAACCCCCCGATTTGGAAGGCTGACGAAGCCTTGGTCCCGTTTGTCGTGGACCTAGGGGGCAAAGAAGGGGGGAGCCGAGTCGTCAAGGACAAGTCCATGAGTTTGTTTATTGAACAAACAACGGGAAACCACCCATTCAAAGGCTTCAGGAGACAACCCATTGGCAAATCCTGAGACTTCACTCAGTGTCGAGCCATCTTGTGGTTGAGACCACCGCTACAACCTTCTTTCGGTTTTTCTTGCGGTCGCGTAAGCCAGGCATTTCCCCTTTTCGCTTAGGGTCCTCTTGAAGGGACCTAGGACCTTAGTCTTGTTGCCCCGATATCGCATCCAGCCCTGCCACATTCCGATAGGATACTTCACAAACCACCAGCCTTGAATCGGGGATTCTCGAAAGCGGTGAAGGTGATTGAATCGGCCCAGCTGTAATTCTCCTTTTCGGGAACCCCGCTGGCGGTGCGGTTTTCCAAGTGCAAACACGGCGCGATTCGATTCACGGCGCAGACCCCGAGCCTGCACAACCACCATCACCAGCTTTTTGCTGCCAGAATGCGTGTTCCCGATGCTGTTCACCCACAGAAACATCGCAGAATGGTGGGTGGAAGCAAATCCTGAGCTGCGACAACTCCCAAACAAATAAGTAAAAGCGATGGGAACGAGTTGGATATGGTACTTTTGGTCAAAATACAGTTGGACTCCCCCCTCTATAATGGTTTCTACTCGAACACACCAATAGAATCCCTTCCTTCTGACACTCAAAAAGCCAACCCTCCCTCTCAGGGTTTCTAGATGATAGGTTCAAAGGGCCAAACCTTGCCCCGTCTAGATGGTTAAATCCCCTTGCATAGTGAGTTGAGAGCATGGGAGGCACCCAATTGCCCAGTAGAAAAAGAAATCAAACTCCCCAACAACCGGAGATGTAAGGGTGGAATGCACTGAACAACTGTTGCATCCCCTCGGCAATCCAAGCTGAGAAGCAGTACCTCGAATTATATATCTAGTTGCTCTGGGTGTCGCGTGTTTGACATAGCGATGGTCGTACTCAATTGCTATCAAAAGGACCCGCTTGACCTCAGATTCTGTTTCCATATGGCCAGGAACTTCAACCAACAATTTTCGGGGATGCACATCCACCAACCAGCTTTAAAACTCTTACAACAAAAACAAAACATAACATGTATATAGTCGACCCAAAAGCCTCTCGCCGCCCAAAGCTTTTGGCTGGGCGGCTTCCCACATAGAGGGCCGTGAGCGGCAGAAAGGCGGGCAGCTCCATGGGTTCCATGGCGCGGGGCCCGCGAGAAGTCGCGGGCTTCAAAGGCGCGGCGTCAGGGGGTGCTTCGATGAAACATGGGAAAGAAACGCCGTAACTCCTTCACACGCTTTTTTAATGCATGCAATATGAATGTATGTATGTATACATATATATATATATGAGAAGGATGAATGGCGAATCCGACTTGTGCTTTCATGAGTTTGTGGCCACCTTCCCTTTCAAAGGCACACATTTTCTACGGGGGCTGAGGAACTCGGAGCAACCCCTGCTATGGCCCGAAATCGGGGCAGCACACCCTGCGTGGCTGTCTTTGCCTGATGGAGGGACATGGGGAACAAGTCACACAACTCCACAAACATCAGGCCGGACGATGCTTTGCCACGTACACTGCGGGTAACTGGGAGAGTATTTGGACCTGGGCACATGCATTTGCTCAATCTTTCCAAGCTCTTCCTTGGGCGGCGGACAGGGTGCCCTATGTACACGAGCTGCACCCTGCCCAGCCGGTAGGCTTCATGTCCGAGCCTGCGCGAGAACGACTAGCAGAATCAGCGGACACCACAGGTTTCGAAGGGCCCCCCATTCAACAAGCCCATTTGGGCACAAAAACATTTTCCCAAGGACCCACACCCATGTGGGGTGGGGACGCTGCACAATATGTATATATATATAGGCACCGTATGCAAGCGCCATTCGTGAGTATTATTTAATACCATCAACATGATCATGATGATGATGGCG